TCTTCTTAATTAAGATTTATTACATGCTTAACGGGAAAAATACAATTTCGTTTACAAAAATGTCCACACAAAGTTTCTCAGCTTACTAAATTTCAAGTACCAGATACCTAATAAATTTTGAAATACGTTAAAACTTGTGTGGCCGAAAGACCATTGAAAATACTATAATGTAACACTATACAAATACAGGTTTATTGTAGGCTTATTTGTGAAAGATAGACAAGAGCTTTTCTAGTCACAATGTTACAAAATACATAAATAAGCAATGATAACGTTGACACGATATAAATTTTGAAACACTACCAAACCTATAAAATTTATCCCCAAATAGATTACGAACCTTTAAACAGTTTTAGAGCCCTGTTCGGGCGGCGTTCATCAAAGAGCACACACAACCACCCAAGTATTGAGCCTGTTTCTGAGTTTACCTTGTTTGATGTATGCGGCAATTCATCACAAAAATGAGCCAATGTGTTCATTCTGTGGGGGGGGGGGGGGTTGGCGTCAAATTAAATGACGCAATCAGTCACTCAGCGATGTGTCACGGACATCCACCTAGGCAGACGTTTTTGACAAACAATTCTTCAAAGGAAAATTTGATGGGGATATGATATGAATGACAATCTTATGCAACTTAGGTGTTTTATAAAACTGGCTTTGTACGAGTAATTATAGGATTTCAGTCAGCGTGTCGGACAATCCTTGAAAGTTATGTCATGGGTTCTCATCTTGTTGACGATACTAAAATGCATAAGCGTACTTAATTCTTGCAATGCATCGGATTACGAATTGCTTGCCTTTTACATTTAGGCAAAGGGTTGGGGTCAAAATGTGGTTGGACAGATGGAAAATTGAAAGAGACCGACAATCTCTTGCATAATATTGGAAGAGAAATTGCTGTTTGTCCTAAAAGGACAAATGCACTTTTTATTCCAATGGGGCTTTTAAGTAGTTTACCCTAATTGTGAGTTTTACTATGTAAAAAGGCACTCGAGTATGTGCGCATGGAAAAGTGCAAAAGTGTCTACTGTATCTATATGCCAAATATTAGTTTGCATTTTTAATGCAATACTCAATGCAATGATTTAAATGCAATACTGTACTCATGATGTGTAAATACATTATGTGTATAAGGTTGATTTACGAATTTTATAATGTTCAAAGTTGATATTATTTTTGTTTGGAATTATTCAACGAGTTTATTAATTTGTAAGTGTTTAAAACTATGTTTAATTTAAAACGATAAATTTGTTTATGTAAATTCACCGTTTTAAATTACATTAACTAAAAGAAATGTTGTTCAACAAACTACTTTAAAATTTTTATCTAAAGCTTGCGTTGGTAAAATGTGTTCTGAGTTTAATATTTACATAAATGTTTCGATGAAATTAATGTTAATAATGACGTAAGCTAACATAATTTTTCGTGTGTTCTCCACTAATCGGATTATCAGGCAAATTGTTTAATTAACGAATTGTTTCGAACAAAAACACTTCAGTTAGGCGTGGGACAGGAAATGCTGTCTGGTTGGTTTAACACACATCTTGTAGTATTTCGTGTGGATTAGCTAATTAGACATTGAGTCTCTTATTTTTTTACTAATCTTTATACTTTTAACCACCTAAAAAACAAAGAGCGCTCTACGTAACAGATTAGCACGTTTAGACGTAAGAAAGTTGTTCTACGTTCAGATTAGCAAACAACTTACGATTCGGTGTGAATCATCGGTGAAATCCATTCACACCCAGGCCGACAATTAACACAGGCTGTGTAGGTTTAATTCAATTTAGCAACAGGTTATTAAGTAGTTAGAGCCTCCCACTAGTACGCCCTACCAATACCACCTCGGTCCGCGAACGTAGAATGCAAGCTGTGCGATTTACGCAACGTAAACTAACTTGGCGGATAGTTTATGAGAGAAAAGGAGTGTTAGGATAACAGTTTGAACCTTAAATTCCATATCCTGTCGTCAGTAGCTTAAACGTTGACATAGTTTTCATAGTTTGCGGGGATTTTAAAACAAAAAATGCCCCCTTTATGTTTTGATTTACTGTGATTGAAGTTTTAATCAGGATGTTGTATACCCGTGGAGTCATGAGTTATAGAAAGTGTAATAGGTCATATTAGTTCTAAGTATGATTGTCCAGTATGTCATTTTAGTCCAGATGTTTTAGCGTGATCGAATAACAAATAAACATACACAATCTCAATTTGGTAATATTGTAGATAACAATATAACTTACCATTACTCCATACTTTGCCTATAGCAAAATCAGAGGGTGATATAAAAAACTACATCTGATCGAAATTTCATTGCTAAATATTTTCACGATTTAAAAACCTCACCCACCTGTACGTAGTTACATTCAAATTACCAAAAGTGTGTTATGCCAAACGACTAGCACATGTCACGCACGTACTACCATGCCATTAAGGACAAATTGCCCAGCGGCTCGTAGTGGAAGGACCTTCTAGAGGTCCTGGGGCCGTGTTGAGGTGCTCCTACAAGCCTCAAGGTACAAGGTCGTGAAACTTGGGAGTGTAGAAGCTCGGTCACTGCGATAGATACTCTAGACTATATCAGGTCAGATTACAGGACATCACACCCAGAGGTGCGGTTAGGGACGATATTGGGTAAAAAACAAATAACATGATACAGCTTTCGTCTTCCAAGCCTCCAATAAACCCTGCTGCACATGAACCCTTATTCATAAAAAAATTGTTTATAATGATTATTAACTTGTTTAGTAGAGGGTACAAGGGCATGCTTAGAATTAGCGGAGGGAAAAGAAGAGGATTATATCTGACAACTTCGTATTCATCCTATGGATTTTACCTTGTACACTATAATTAAGACAAGGAAATCCGAAATCCCAACCAATCAAGGAACATATTTTGTTAGTACAGTGCTAACATTGACTATGTTCTAAGCGTAAACAATGAGCGCCCATCTAAATAATTTTATATAGGAGTAAGGGGGTCTGGGGGCACTTAATATTTTCCGTAAAGAGGGGGTCGGAGCCTCCTCCGGAAAATAGTTAAAATATTTATATTCTAATGTTTGATTTTACGCATTTCTCACAATGCGTGGATTATTAGTTTTATGTTTTTAGTGCACAATATAAAGAAGTTGGTTGATTCAAGGTCTTATAGAGGGGGGCTTGAGCCCCCACTAGCTTATATTGATGGATGCCCATGGCCTAATCAAGTTCCTGTAAAACTAATACCCTCAATAGTAGCCCAATCTATGATAATCCACTCCTATCTCGTAGCACCATCTGCAGCTGGTCCATAAATATATAATTTTCATTGTACAGTTCATTTTCATTTTTTTTTTTTTTGAATAATTGATAATAATAAATATTTACTCTCTGTCACTTTATCCACTTTTATAGCATTATACCTTAGACTTTGGTTCTATGAAATTAACTTAAGGAGATCAAAGGCGTGGGAAAGCAAACGGGAAAGTTTTGATCTGGCTTCCAAACCTTTGGCACTTCTAAAGACTCTCCGAGCTTCATCGCAAATCTAAAATAGAATTAATGTAAAAAGATGGAGGTAACCCCAACCAAATGTGAGTTTTTACAATGTAGTTTTGCTGCTTCTTGTGATATAAATATATAAACTTTGCTATGTCTGCAATGTGTAAAATGTTTTATACTAACTTTTAATTATTTATGGACTTGTAAGCTCAGCAAATATGTACACATTTAATAATATAAGCAAAATAGGTGCTTCTAACCATACCTATAGCAATTAACACTAGTTTGGGTTGTTGAAAAAGTTATAAATGTGGTAATCAGTGAATGTAGTTTTCTTGGGTTATCGTGTCTCTACATTCAAGATACTCAAGACAATTCATTGTGCACTTAATAGATAAAAGTTATGTATTTACAACCCACTAGGTCCATATTTTGCCGTGATATCTCAACATTATATCACAGTAAAAGGCGTACCACAAACATTTAAAAAGTTACAAAAACTTAAAGGTAGTATTTGTTTATTTTTTTTTCTATAAATAATTTTTTTTCTAAATAAAATACTCACCTTACTGATTAAATTTCTGCCTAATAGCCCCAATCTGCTGCAATTTTCCTACCTTTAATGTCTTAATTGCCACGTACTGTTTTCTTAAATCTCGATTAAGTATGTTAATAATGTGTAAATAATATGTGCATGAGACTCCCTATATAATTACATAAATTTGTTACACTTTATCAAGGAGAACAAGTACGTAGAAAGGATATGCGTAGTATATCAAATTAGACAACAGTAAAGTTGTATCTCGTGCCGTGTTAACAAAGTGTTCGTACACAATACGTTAAACAGTATATTCATGGTACATCCATACAGTATACAATACGTTTATAACATGTGTATGCACATTGGATATACACATGGGAAATCCTACAGGATGTCTACCCGGTGTGTACTATTTGCCAGTCAGGATGATTAATTCAGTGAGAACGGCCTTGGCTGTCAAAATATGTCCTGACCTTCACGCTGGAATTACTTAGAAGGCATCCTGAATCGTTTTATTATGATTACATGTTTTTAACCAAGTTTTCCTATAGCTTGTAATAAAATAAAACACCTCACCGGAGCAAACCTGTAGACTAATCGATTTTCCATTTAACTGGTTTTATTATCATTAAAAAATTCTCTTTAGCCCTTTGCGGTTCCGACTGCTCTAATGGCAAACTATACTCCGTGAAAAATGGCAAAACAATTTGACCTCAATAAATTGTTAGATTTATTTTCTAATTGAACATTAATTTTAATGAGTACGTATATTTGCTTAATAAAGTTAGTAAAGTGTGTTTTTCATTATTGTGATACTGATCGTCAATTTCATTGATGATTATTATTTTAGAGATGTATTAGTGTCATTTAACTTGTCACGTTTGAAAATACCATTTTTTTAGTTATACTATAAATGTTTATCTGGTTATATGGCTTTCATTATACTTGTTTTAACAGTGTATTGTTATCTATTCCAGATGGTCGCAGGAGAAACGATGTACAGATGACTCGGTAAGAAACCTTTTTCACTTCTTGTTAATGATAAATGTGTACAAAACAAATTGTGTCCTCATCCCTAATACTTTTTATACTTTTAGTACTTTACAATGAAATGGTTACCATACAAAGTAAGTATTTTAAGCCATGTATGAATGGAGATGAGTGTAGGATGAGTGGCGCGATTAGTGACTAAGGCCGATATATTCCTTAGACACAGCTGTTAAATAATAGCCCATAATGGCAACTTTTGGTACAACAATTGGTATTAACGAATTGGTCTAATTATCAGGATAGTACTGCGGATAGACGTAGTACTCACTAGTGCGGACGTTAATCCACACCAGATAGTATCGCATCCACAGTTTGAGTACGGTATCAAAACAAATTTGAGGTTTGACTAAGTTTTTCTGCATTTACTAGAAGAAACACGGATGGTCTGATTTTTATAGCTCAGAGCTTCTGTAATGCAGGCTCGAATATACATTCACAAAACACCAAATACCTAAAGCTACCAAAAGAGACCAAAAGCTATGTAAAAGTGTCATGACCCGTTAATTTAACAGAAGTTACTTTGCGCTGCAGATCCACTTGAAAATATGATATTCCTTTAATGTGAAAAGGACTTTTTATGAATTCGACAGCTCCTTCCATCCAGAGGTGAAAGATGAGTTTGGTGCGAGAACGAGCTGGTCGGGAAGATCTTGATTGAATTATTAATGATTAAAGGACCTATGCCCTACAATGACCGCCCTTGTGAATAGCACACTTTACTTAAAGTATGAACACGTGAAAAATTACAATACACGAAAATACTAGGGTATAGAATCAATACTTGGATTGTTTGTATGGGGTTTTGGATGTTCTCCAATACAGTATAAGCATTGAGAGACCACCTTTTTGTTCTAGGTAATGCACTTACAACTAACCTCTGTACCAGCAGTGATAATTTTAATCCTCAAGCATAATTTTTTTTCTTTGGCTATTCTTAACTTCTTGTGATTTAAAAAGAATAATTGAACTTTTTTAATTGCCTGTCTTCATCCCCTTAATTGCTATTACATTAAAGTGCCCACATTTTTAAGAGACCAGCACTTAAATTACTAAACCAACCGTGATGATATTTAGTAGTTCAACAGGAAAGGATTTTAGAGCAGTTTATCGAGAGGAATGTTACTCAAGCTATTGCAGAAACTAACCTTATTAAAATCTATTGTAAAATACACTAACAATTATTTGAAAAATATAAGGACGTCTCAAAATGGACCCTAGACACACTATGTTTAATGTCTTAAAAAGCAACCTCTTTGGCGTAACAGCTATGCTCTTCACCAAACGTATCAACCTTAATTTTTAAATGAATGTCTTCAAATCTTCTTAAATACATTGAACACAAACACAACACGTACACGGTAGACATTTAACATAGTTGGCCGGCCGGCGCACGTCACTGAACTGGTCGACGATGACTGTTTACCACACACAGGGGGTACTATAATAAATGTCTATCGTGTTCGTGTTGTGTTTGTGTCCAACTTAATTTTTTGTTGAAGAATAGTAGATTAAATATGTGTCTAGTACCCAACGAATGGATAGCGAACTAGGGGTACATCGCAATTCATTTCCTAAGGTCCCGAGTTAAAATCCAGCCAATCGCCAATGAATAGTCATGTAATCATTTTTACGTCATGACATTCCACGTCCCTCAAAGCATAGTCTGAACATACAAGTAACGTGTGTCTCAAGTACATGTAATATAAAAATCCAGGCTAGAAGCCTACCGTCCTAGGATGTGAAGGTAGGATAAAAACATCTTGCCAAACAACATTCCTAAAATCAAAAATAGTCCAATAAACTTTTTACTCAACCATCTATTTTCCTGGTTCCTAGGAATACCATCCTTATTGCTCCAATTATCGGTTGGATTAAAAACATCTTCGCCTACCTTAGTGACATTTCCATCTAGTCCCGGAGACAAAGCCGATGGTTCAGCTACGCTCAGCGCTGTCTGAGCCAGTTTTTGCTATGTAGCCTAGATGCCACTACATGCCGCCTATCCTGTCCTGTGCGTGGTCTGAGAACTAACTAGTGGCTCTAGGAACTGGCTGATCCTTGTTACTGAATTGCAGGAAAAACTGGTGTGAACGTTTATAGTCCTCGTCTTTGCCCAATTACTGGAAACAGTTATGAATCTCTGCTGAAAAGATGTATATTTATGCTGACGTGTGTAGGGTTGTACAAAATTCATCCTATGTGGTCGTGATGGTTTAGTAGATGATGAGTCTATTGTAATTATGCTAGTTATGTACTCTTCAGCATAGCTACAATATATGTTGAAAGGAGTGTTTAGACTGCAGAAAAGGCTGAGGATAGTTTCGGAATTGCGGCTGAGAAAATTGAGTAAACAAAGATTTGAAGGAGTTAGGCTTTCTCATGATACACTTCCTCTAAACCTGGATGTAACAATATACAATTTACTATTACTACTACATTCATGAAAGTTTATTTAAGAAAAAAGAGGCAGAGACAATTATCAAACTCAACTACGTCGACAAGTCGAGTTCAAGCATTTGCTGTCTCACATTCCGAGAAAAAAATCCTTGATGACATTAAATAAACTGAATTAAAAAAAAATCTAGACCTAAACGATTTTTGGTGGCCAATGCCCTGTATTTAGCCGACAATTTCAAAACAACATCTGGGATATCAACATTTTAGAAAATTTTTCGGAAATCATTTAGACAATAGCAATAAGTTTGTTAAAAAAAAGTGTAATATAACGTGGATTGTCTTTCCCAATAAAGTATGTATTTAAAGATTGTAATGCGATGCGATGCGACTTAAATAAACGAATACTTTCGTTTTGCTTCTTAATTAACGTTAATCCATTGATTATAAATACTTAAATTCGACGTTTTTCATTCTGATGTAAATGTTGAAGCATTTTTAATGACTTATCGGTGATCTGTAGTGATAGTAAGTATGTAATGTGTTCTATTTGTCTTTTTACAAACAATCAATGTTCATCGTAATTAAATTTAGGTTTTTAAGTTGGTAGCGCTGAAAACCCGCAGTTTATTATCTGTAATGTAGGGTTTACGTGAAAAGAAGAATAACAAGAGCAAAGAATAACAAGCTATAAACAAAGCAGATACCGCAATTGGATTAAAAGTAAACAATCCGCGGAGTTTGCATGACAATTCATCACAAATGTTTATTTTGGGAAAATATTTTTCTGTTCAAAACTTTTGAAACCGTTAATGAATCAATCACCGTTTTGTGTATCATTATATTTTGCTGGTCATGTTTTACAAATTATCAAAAGTACTGTAACCCTTATCTGAGTTATATTATTTATCCTTGCCCCATTATGGTGTAATCCTTATCCTTATTCATAATACTGAAAATAACTATTTTGTAGCCTATAACTGTGTAAGTTATTATGTTTACAATTTCTGCGAATCCATCATATCTCATAGTAAGACTTGGTCCCAGGACCGATTTACTTTTTCGTTTCGATGTCCCCGGAGGCCTCATTCATTAAAATTATCATTTATATGTGTCCATTAAAATGATAACTCAAATAAAAATTATGTAATTTTCATGAAATTTGGCACAAACGTGCAAACGTCTGTTCATTCTAACGAGTTCGCGAACCAGTATGGACGGACTACTTAACAAGGGTTTACTTAAGATTTTATGGGATAAATATTATACAACCTATTACCATCAATTAATTACATTACAATTTCAAATTACCTATTTTTATGTCATACCAGCCACGCCTTCAATGGACCGTTTTCGCTATGTTTATTCACACCAATCAGGTGAGATCTGCAAGTCATCTGTAGTCAATGTAATCAGCATACAATACCGGACCCGCCCACTGCGGCCGTGTCCTTCATACGTTAAATGGATTCTTCCATCCTGATAACATTGACTAATCAGAAGGAAATATACTAGAATGACAGACCAAAAGTTGATTGTTTGTTTTCTTTTCTGTTTTTATTTATTTTTGTATGTTTTGCGAATAGAACTTGTACATCTAAAGGCATAGGCATTTAGATACCTAGATAATAGCTTTGACTATATAGTCAATGATAATAGCTAACAAATACAGGGTGAGACAGTAAAACGGCACAATTTTGAAAAATCACAAATAATTCATTTAGAAAAAAGGACAGTTTTTTTAACATAAATCCAACATGACTGGAAATTAATGTTCCACCTTAAAAAGAATTATATTTCGTAATACAGTGTCAGTAAAATGGCGTACTTGGTTTTGTACACATTGTTGAATTATGAATTGAAATCAGCCCATGACGTTTTTAGCGTTTGCATAACGTCTGCAATCGTTTTATAGCGCTTTGTCGTGCTAGCAGTGGCTTCAAGTTCTTCACCCAAAGCACAGAAAACGTACGTTTTCTGTGCCCAAAGGAGAATAGCTTTCCTGGATTGCACGGAAGCCCACGGCGATAGATTGAACTCGCAACGGTTAGTGCGCTGAGCACAAACCATAATCCACTATTTTGTAATATGCCTTTACAGCAAACGCGTGTTGTGCAATCGTCCAACGCTACATGACTACTGAAATTTCCACTTTTTTAGACGCCTATGTTCGTTTTCAACGTACTCTAACAGCCCCCAATTCCTTGTCAGCCGGTATCGTAACCGTGCCGTTTCACTGCCTCACCCTGTATTAGGTGGCGAGAATTAGTTCTTCTAGTGGTTAGTTCTTAGAATTGAAATGATTCACTTTACAGAATTATTTACTTAATTTACAGCTTTCGTTTTCTTCACAACACTAGTAACGGACCAATGAGGTTCAAGGATTGAGAGAAAATTGTAAAATTGTAATGCTTCGGACGTCAACTGAACAGCTATTAAGACCAAAAACGATCGTAAGTAAAATAGTGTACTCGCGTAAGTAGTCTTTACACGATCGTTGTATAAAGTACTATTACATTTCCGTAAAATGAACTCAATTTGGAATTAAAGTACATTTGAACGGTTCC